AATGTTAACGGTTCATAGAATGTGAGGCTGAATGGTCGGCCCCACACATTTTCACGTTACCAAATCTGGCCCTCCTTGCAAAAAATTTGGACACCCCTGGCCTAGGGTCAGTGATGGGATCCTGCCGGTTTAACAACCGGTTCGGTGACTGTGTGTTTCACTGCACGTGCATGCAGAATTTTACCAAAACTTACCTTCCACATTACTTCTGGGGTAGTAATACAGCTGAGGCGTGGCAATCTGCTCTGCCGCGCTAATCATCTGAGAGGATACAGGTGAGTAAAGCGCAAGGGCGGGTGGGCCAATCTGTTCGTTTAAGCAAACCAGTTCGCTCTCTCAGCTGATCGTCAGAACTGGTCCAAACTGGCTGAATCCCACCAGAGTGCTCCTAGGGGTTGGGGAGAGCAGAAATGAGCAAAAGGGGGGCCATTTTTTGCTTGTTTTTGCCCCCCCCCCAGCCCCCAGGAGCACTCTATAAGCTTCCTAAAGGCTATGCGTGCCTTTTTTTTTGACAAAAAACAAAAAAAAATGAATGTGTTCAGTGAAACTCTTTTTAAATACAACTTTCAGTTCCGTTGAGAATGGAGAGAGGTTTCCAAACTCTCGTAAACTAATTTGGTTGAGTGTTGTCTTCCTCAGTCTGATGACTTCCAGATATATTGGTCTAGATGAGGGAAGTTGAAAACAATATATCTCAGCACACAGTTTTGGGAAGGTTTCGATGAAATGTATGAAAGAGAGAAAGACAATCAGACAAGAGGAGACTAACTGGATTTTTTTTTAAATCACACATGTATTTCAGCCAATCAAACTTGGAGATCATCTGAACAGCATTCTCCTTGGTATGTGTGAAGATGTTGTTTATGCTCGAGTGTCTGTGCGGACCGTTCTCGATGCCTGCAGTGCTCACATACGGAACAGCAACTGTGCGCCTTCTTTCTCATATGTAAAACAGTTAGTCAAACTGGTTCTGGGGAGTTTGCCTGGGGTAAGTGTTTACATTTCCTTCTGTATCCTGGATGGAGTTATTGAAAAGTTTGCCTTTCATTCTAAGGATGCTTGACAAAGGGACTTAAATTAGTAAGCCATTAAATTATTGTACAGACAGTGAAAACACTGCCACTTAACTTTGCAACCCTTTTCAAGAGCCAAGGCAAATAATTCCAACTAATAGGAGCTAGTCCTGGCAACATTCTGATCAAGTTCCCCCTTTATTTATGTTAAGGAATCTGTCACATCCCGTTAGTAGCTCTCACCACTTTAATTTCTCTCAGCTGCCTCTTGAATCTTGCCACTATTATCTTTTTCCTTTTCCTTCTAATTATACGTTCTGCAAAGATGTGAGACTCTGGGAAAGAACTTGGCAGAAGCTGCGATTAGAGCCCCACCTTTCAGATAAGGATTGTTCTTACAAGTTTTGGCTATGAGTCACTGCTGTTCTGGACAACTGGTTTCTCACACCTTCACAAATCATTCTTCCCTGGAAGTTCACCTGCTCATTTTGGTTAACTGAATGTGTGGTTTAAGGAATGTCCCCAAGAATAACATTTTTCTATTAAGTTGTTTGTAGGAGAACGACAGGCAGAGCTTGGGGGTGGAGTTAAGAGAGGAATCAGCCTAGAGCCGTGATGGCGAATCTATGGCACACGTGCTGGAAGTGGCACACAGAGCCATCTCTCCAGGCATGCGAGCCATTGCTCTTCTGGGTTCCAGCGCACTGGCCAGCTGGTGTTCACTCATGCGGGAGTGCCAGAAACTGGAAGAGCAACTGCCTGATACACATGCACGCCCTGGGAAGATGATCTGGCCGGTGCGCATGTGCGTGCCGGAAACCAGAAGATCATCTTCCCAGCACGTGCATGCTCAACGGACAGCTGCTCTTCTGGTTTCTGGCACACAGGTGCGCATGCGTGTTCCCGTTTCGGCACTCAGTGCCAAAAAGGTTCACCAACACTGGCCTAGAGTCATTATGTTTCCACAAGTGGTCTAAATCCAGTCTCCCTTGAATTCAGATTACCATAGAGTTGGAAGGGACCTTGTAGGTCATCTAGTCCAAACCCCCGCCTAAACAGACCTTACGCCATTTCTGACATTCCATTAACTCGTATCTAGCGCCAATTTAGTACTGACATTGGTTGATGAGATTCTTGTATTTCCCGAAATAAGTCAGCTTAATCAGAGTTTATTGTATGGTCCTGATTCTTTTCGCCTGACATTAATAAAGCAAATCGCACTTGTATCTTCCCCTTCTTGATTTAATGTGTTATATTAGACTTATGGCAGTATACAATATAAAAACACAATAAAAAGACACATAATGTATTTACATAAATTTGTTCTGACCTAGGCTTCCTGAGACAGTAAAAAGCACATGCTTAGTCCCAAAAAAACCTCTTTTTATTTCAATGGCTGTAAATTATATTCATTTACAGCCCGTAATGAGTCACAAATACCGTAGTTTGTAAAAAGTCGAATAGAAGTCTGCTAAAGCTTTTAGGAATAAGGCTGATAGGCACCCATCTTTATCTCCCTTGAAATGTTGCCAGAGACCTAATTGGCAATTAGCTTTGCAAGGCCACATGGAGCACAGAGTCAAAACGGAGCTTTATAATTTAAACCGACCAGAACAAACCAAGTTGCTTCCTGCAAAAGCTCATGTGCCTTTGCTCCTCCTTCATGTCTTATGGGAGGGGCCAATCATCCCCAAGTCTTACTCCCAAGTTGCCCCTTTTGTCTTAACTGTTCTTGTCTTCTGGCAGCTCTGCGCATGCACACACTAGGAACTGGCTCATATTGTTCTTCTGCCTCGTTGATGTCAGACTCCGGAGGCTCCAGAGACAGCAAATAACTAGAAGATGGCCTTGGTCCCCTCTCTGCAGAACCTTTGTCAGAGCCTTCCCCAGACTCCAGGACTGGCCCATGTTCCTCCCCAACCTCCTCACTGTCCGACTCTGTTGCCAGCTCCGCAGGCCGCCAGCAGACCCCAACAAAATTAAGCAAAAACCACAACATAATGTCTAATACTAATAAAATAGCTAACATAATCCCATTCCAGATGGTGCACAATCTCCCCATGACCATCCAGAAGAACGTAGTTTTTACTATATTCTGGAGGGTCCATCCCAAGCATATCAAACTAGCTTCTACAGCAGGGGTTTCAAACTCAAGGCCCACGGGGTGTTTAGATCAGGACCACCCTGGAAACAGCGAAGGACCGGCCCATGGTGCCTCTGCCAGTGAAAACGGCGTTCCGGAGGGCCGCATGTGGCCCTCCAGAGCTCCATGTTCACTAGCAGAGGGTTGCAGGAGGCCATTGCTGCCAAAAACGGAGCTTGGGAGCCCATTTTCACTAGCAGAGCACTCAGGCCACTACAGGCGTCCCCAACACAAGTGACATTGAGCTGGCCACGTTCATTCTGGCCAGGTCCACCTGTCCGTCCCCCGTCCCCCCGCGAGGTCAAACACAACCCTGATGCAGCCCTCAATGAAATCGAGTTTGACGCTCTTGTTCTGGAGGGTGACTGTTCCAGATTTTAGATGGAAAAGTGGCACCTTATGTAGCACAAATAGCTTTTACCGGGAGCATCTTTTCAGATAGCTAGGCTTTGATAGAAGAAGGCAGTCCTTTAGGTGCTAGTGCTTAATAAGTCAAAAGCAGCACTTTGAGTTATACCCAGAAACACTTTCCAGAATGTCTGTTGACATAACTAATTGATTCTCACAAGCCTGTTAATTGCTGCATAACACTTTCTCTAGATTTATATCTGCAAAAGTCACTGAAGATAAGTATCATGTCTTTCAGTTGAGCTGGAAACATGTATCTAATATGATCAGATAACTATATACATTACTTTCTGTTTGTTTAATTAGAAAATTAAATTAATTTTAATTTAATGTCTAATTTAATGTAATTTAGAAACTTACACCTTCCAAACTGCAGTCATAGCTCTGTCTTTGTAACACGAATGTTACATTCCTTGTTACATGGTACACAGAAGTGTGTCATACTGAAACTTGACAAAAGTTGGTGTCCTTCCAGTTTGCAGTTACCCTTCTGTTTGTTTCCTCAGTAGCAAATCATATTTTTTGTTGCTCTATAATTCATTTTAATTTAGACTCTTATTTTAATTTATTTTTGTATTCTATTTTAAACTCAATTCAGAGTAGAAAGGCAGGGAGTGATTAAATAAATGAACAATAAACAAAAGGTATTAGCACCAAAGGGTATTCTTTGTCAGTTTGTTCACTTTTTTAGATTTTTATATTTCTTCCAAAGACTCAGGACAGCTTTCTTGGTGGTCTCCATTTTATCCACAGTCCTTCAGTCAGAACTGAAGAAGCTTCTAGAATAAGTAGCAAAATGTCTTCAAGGAAAAACAGAGCCCAGTTGCCTTTTGAAAAAGCACATTTGGGATATAATTTAGGAAGGAGTGCAAAAGGAAGGCAGACTGTGGCTAAATTCACTTATGCTAAACTACAAACCAGCTCACTATGGTTAATGTAAACCATAGGTCAGGAAAAATCCTGCTGTTGCACAAGCCATGATTCCATGGTTACTGCAGTGCACAAATCATATATCTGTGGATAACGAAGGATAGTTTTATTAGGCTACCTGAGTTTTAACCGTTTTAAGTTTCTACTTTCAGTGGATGGAAGAGGGTTTGTCTATTGCAGGGGTGTCAAACTCAAGGTCCGTGAGTTGGATCCGGCCCATGGGGTGTTTAGATCTGGCTTGCGGGGTCGCCCTTGAAATAACAAAGGACTGGTTGTGCTAGTGAAAATTGCAGTGCCTCTGCCAGTGAAAATGGAGTGCGGCCCTCCCGAGCTCCGATTTCGGCTGCGATAGCCTCCTGCAGCCCTCTGCCAGCGAAAACAGAGTTTTGGCCGAGCTCTGTTTTCACTGGCAGAGCACTCAGGCTGTTAAATATTCATGAGCCATATAAAACAGGCTCAGATAGTTAATGTTGCTTCAGCACTTTCTTGGAGGCTAGCAACAGCCTCCTGCGTCCTGATTGGCCAGGACGCAGCAGGAGGCTGTTGCCGGCTGAAAGTTACCTTTAATTGGACCAGGGACTTGACAGCAGTTGCTGCCCAAGTCCCGGGTTCCTATTGATTGTCTAGTTAATATATATACCGTGGCGCGCACCGCGGCCATTCGAATCGCTGTCATAAGTTGCCTGTTAATAAAGGAAGTTGTTGCTCACCCTGTTGTCGCGTCCCTCCTTCCAGACCTCAAAACAGGCCACCACAGGCGCCCCCAACACAAGTTGACATTGAGCTGGCCATGCCCACCTTGGTCACACATCCCTCCCCAAGGTCAAACACGACCCTGATGCGGCCCTCAATGAAATCGAGTTTGACACTCCTAGTCTATTGAGTTTATGTTAGTCTGTCTTTTTCAGCTATTAATGTTCTTCCTTTTTTGTTGCAATAGATAGACCAGCTTTCTTGCGTAGGGGAGAAAAAGCTTCACACAGACAGGAGCCAGGCCATTCGAGAGAGGCTGAGAGGAAAACGACTTCCCACAGGTAAAGCTTTATTTACAAAAGAAGGAAACATTCATGGAGTGGAAATATGGCTGTTATTTAATCTTCCACCTCCCAGATTAATCCCATTAAAATATCAGAGCTTCTCCTTATGATATAACCAGCATCCTAATAAATGGCCTGATGATACGGTAACAATCTGAGCATACGGGAGGTAGGGGCCATGAGTTGGGAAGAACTGGCTATAAAGCATGTTTATTGTTTTTCAGGGAGATAACTTGGGGAAAAAATAGATGAGATATTTTTCTGATATATATTTTGTTAAGATAAAAAGGCCTCTGGGAAAAATGAGATAACCTTTTTCACAGTTAAAAAGGCAAAGGATTCCCCTGCCAGTCCACCCATGTCTAATTCTAGGGGGGCAATTAATTAATAGGAAGAAATAATGAACATAGAAAGTAGGTAGAAAATTCTAGGGCTTTTTCAATTCTACTCTATTGCAATATAGGATGTTGTTGCTATTCCATTCTTACTCATTTGGAGCCACTTGAGATGGGTGGTATAGAAATGCTTTGGTGTAGCTTCATGGAGATCCATTATTATTTTTTGCCTAAAACAGCTGTTGTGTTCATTTTTAATGTGGCAAAACCAATTTATTAAGAATATAGCTTTTGCTTTTTTCTTGAATTTTTAGTGGTGTTTTCCTTTACAGGCTAACTTAAGATCCACACTGTCGTATAGCTTCTACTACCCAAATCCTTAATAGCCTTTTGATAATGTTTTATTTTTATCTTCAGATGTCCCAACCTCAAAATATTGAGAATATTTGTTTAACCCTATGACTTATCCTGAATTTTGTAGTAATATGAATCCTCACCCTAATGCTACATAAAAAGCAAATCAAACAAATTGCTTACTTACACATACCACCTTTTCCTTCATATGTTATATATTAATTTGGATCTATCTATCTATCTATCATCCATTCATCCATCCATTTATTTATCTAATTTATCTAGAATATTAATATAATAAGCTTTTAAGATAAATTAAAATGGCATATCCTACATCAGTGTTTCTCAAACTTGCAATTCTTAAGAAATGTGGAGTTCAACTTCCAATATTCCCTAGCCAGCATATTTTTTCTGAAGAAAATTAAAATATAATCAATGCAAACAATTTCATGAGCTGAAAGTGAAATGCGCTGAAACATTAGCAGAGAAAAACTTGATAACGTCCATTAACTTCATTGCGATAGTCAAATTAATATGAGAATTTTTCTATCATTGGTTGTTGCTAACATGTACTGTAATTTATTAAGTGTTAGATAACAGCCTCCCTGTTGATGGGTTTCCCGGCTGACACTTTGTCAATAAAGCTATATTTATCTCTTGGGCAAAATTGCATTTTGTCCTTCTAATGTATCCTTTGACTCTTTCCTATTTGGGGCAGTATGAACATTAGCAGTTTCTATTTCTCTGAAACACTGCTTGTTATGAAGAAGCCATCAGAATGAGATTAGGAATGCCAGGTACAATGTGGTACTGCTTGACTAAATTCAAATGTTGTGAGCTGGTCCATTTAAGTACTTTGTGGAGAACTTTGATACTTTAATGTTGACATGTGAAAAGATCAAGAAGCAAAACAAAGAAAGTTGAGTTGGCCCACATGGTTGTTGTCAGGAAGGAAGGAAGGACGGACGGAAGGAAGGAGCATTTTGTAAAAAAAAAACTGTGTTCTTCATGATAAAAACATAATTAAAAATGTCATAATTAAAGAGAATATTATTTTAGATGCTACAGTTGAACAGAAGTAATGTAATTTCTTTTGTTTATTTTCATTGTTTTGATATTCAGCTGGTTAGAACCTAAACTAATTAAAAAAATCTGCTACCTTTAAGAGGAGTGTATATCCAATCCAATTCTAGAATACATAAACAATTAGGAAGGGTCCAACTATAGCCATATCCAAGAGAGATTCTTCTCATTCTCATTACAGGAAGAATGACTGATGTAGCACCTGATTACCCAGCCCCATTTTCTCGGCAAATCCTGCTTAACAAAGGACTTAGTAAGTCATTTGAGTTCTTGTCAACCAGCAACTCACGTGGTGAAAAGGAATTTTCTCAAAATATTGCCTCTGATTACAATTCTGGCCGTGAAGACAGTACAGATAGTTGCTGTCCTTACCGATTCAGAGTGTCCAACCTGGAGAAGAAAGCCAACGGTGATCCCAAACGCAAAGTATGGGCTTCTTCCTCTGATTTGTTGTGTGCAACTCACCAAGTCACAGAGAGGGACTATGTTGCAGATTCTCACAAGCACCATCATCAAGGCGGAACCATTTCAGGGCGGACTTCAGGAGCTCCCATAAACAAAGAAGGCAGATATTCTGATGGGAGCATAGCCCTTGATATATTTGGCCCTCAAAAGCTTGACCAAGTGCTTCATGTATCAGAGACGTCAACATCGGCGGCCTTATTATGTGCCTTTGACAGGATCAAAGAGAAGCAGAAGAAATTACAGTTGCTGAGAGAAGCCATGAACGTAGAAGGTCAGTAGATGTTTCTGCATATTATGTTTGACATGTGACATCCTTCACTGTCAAAATAATAAATATTTGTGTGAGAGAAACATTTCCTATTTTGCAAATTTGGTACTGATGTCTATTTCTTAGCCAAGAGAGGCAATGTTGTCTAAAGACACTACCATGACCATGTGGCCAGCATGATCTTCCCACCAAAGTGGTACCTATTTACCTATTCACATTTGCATGCTTTTGAACTACCATATTTTTCAGAGTATAAGATGCACACATTTCCCTCAGAAAAGAGGCTGAAAATCTGGGTGCATCTTATATACTGAATACAACATTTTTGGCCTCCCGAAACTCCTCCCCCTTCACCAAAATGGCCATGCATAGCCTTTAGGAGGCTTTCAGAGTGCTCCTGGGGGTCGGGGAGGGCAGAAATGAGTGACTTAAGTTTTGGTAGGTTCTTTTGGAGTTGTTTATTTTGAGATTGTCCATTCTGACTATTTCTCTGTGCCCATCATTCTCTTGTGCCTTGCTGTTTATGGAGACTTCATAATCAGTTCACAATCTAGTTTGGGATAGTTATTTAGGATTTTTAGGATTTTATTGTCATTTATAGGCCGCCCTTTTCCCTGAGGGGACTCAGGGCGGCTTACAATTC